TATGTATTAATATGTGATAGAAAATAGGTGTATGGTAATTTTTTTTTTATTTTTTTCTGTAATATTTAATTTTTTGTTTTTTTTTTAACATAGAGGTTTTAATTAGGTTTGAACATGACCATGCTGGACGTCATTCCCTCATGTCATTATTACCAAAGTTGGATACTTGATTCGGTTGCTTATGGTGTTTTTTTTTTAAAATTTTTGATTGTATCCATACGTCGTTACCATAACTTAAACCAATTGCAGCATACTTTGGTATTTCGTATGACTATAATAGGTTGTGGACTTGGCACACAATTTGTTATCGAATGAAGATAAGATCAATCCAAAAACCGGGTTAGAGAGGTGGTACCTACCGACGTGGTTCTCGGTAATAAAATTGTGTTATAATTATAAACAAAATTACAAACAATATGTTGATTATAATTTTGTTTTTTGTATTCAGCAACAGGCACTGTCTCGGGTTTTGGCTAACAGTGAGACTAAAAAAAGTTTGTTCCAGTCTATGTGTGCTATAAATGGGAAGTATATAAAAGATTTTACTTACTGTGAGAAGGTGTGTATTAACTTAATTAGTTAATCCATTTTGATTTCATTAGCATAACATTAGTTATTTTGATTCATGCATATCAACAATGTTTGTCTATGTAAATAAATTTAGATATACATCCCGATGAATGAGAAAAACTCCCATTGGTATCTATGCGTGATTGACATAACTGAACAGAAAGCGCTTTTGTTGGACCCGCTTCCTTTGGATGATATGTCTATTCGGCTAAATGTTGTGCATAATGTGCTATTTGAATTAGATGATGTGCTTGAAGCTACCCAGGGTAACTACCAACCTTTTTTGGGAACATTCACTTTGTTCACCCCGTCTTGGGCCCCACGTCAGGGGAATGGATATGATTGTGGAATGTTTGTTGTCAAGATGATCCTGTCTACAATGCTTTGTGCAGGCTTAAGCATTAAGGTGAACTCTATAACATGCAACCTTCGACATGTCGCGATTGTATCTTTTGATTATTTGTTTATATCCCTCGTCAAAGCTTATTAATGTAACCAGTTGTTTTCATTTGATCGCAAGAAGATTCAAACAAAATGAGGATGAACTTTGCTTTTTCATTAGCTACTCACGCTGACAATAAAGTTTGGAACAAACTCATACATAAGGCCCGGGAAATAGGGATAAACACTGGGAAATGTAGAGGTAGTGTAGCATGACTGTGAGAATTTAGACGATTTGTATATATTGGTAAGAACCTTGTCGAAAGCTCTAATGGAATGTGAGTAGGTAGGCGTTATGTATATAGTGGAATATAAAGTTGCCGGAGAGGTGGAATGTGCTTTGTTAGGCGGTATGTATATCTTGGAATACAAACAAATAACCTGACAGCTGGAATGTGCTTTGTTAGGGAGGATGTATTTAACGAAATACAATGTTGATTGGTGAATGAAATAGGCTTATGTAGGGGGTTTTTATATATTGGCATACAATGTGGACAGGTTATTGGAATTTACATTGTTGCATGAACGCACATAGCAGTTTGTTTAACCAAACCATCAGTACTTATGAGAAAGACAATTTGAACATCATGACCATAATTTTTGTTGTAATGTTTTTTTAAGTAAAAGCTAAATGTTATTGAGTATATGCAAAATTGGAAGAAGCAACACAATTTAACAAGAAATAGCTTAGCCAATTTTATGGCTAAAATCCTTCTAGACAATATAAGAAGAGAAAAATCATTATTGAATCACTTGTACTTTTTTAGATTTGTTAAGTCAAAAGCTAGTACATAGGGGTAAGGATCTTGAAAAGAGCTATAATTAAAAGAATTTTGAATCAGTTGTAATTTTTTAATCTGTGAAGTCAAAAACTAGTACATAGTGGTAAGAACCTTGAAAAGATGCATAATGAAAAGAATCGTTACTCAATTGTACTTTTTCAAATCTGTGAAGTAAAAAAGTAGCCCCTTGAAGAGACTCCAACGAACAACGAACAACGCACAACAATAAATTGTAGCTGTTCTGCTCCATGTGACTATAATGAAAACAGTTTTTTGTGGTTTTGAAGTGCGTCTAGTCATTCCGNGCATAATGAAAAGAATCGTTACTCAATTGTACTTTTTCAAATCTGTGAAGTAAAAAAATAGCCCCTTGAAGAGACTCCAACGAACAATGCACAACAATAAATTGTAGCTGTTCTACTCCATGTGACTATAATGAAAACAGTTTTTTGTGGTTTTGAAGTGCGTCCAGTCATTCCGTGTGATTACTTGAAACACGTCTCATTGGATGCTTAGAAACATGTGTTGTTAAATGTACGCTCCATAAACAAAGGTTGCCACCGATGCTCCGCTGCCCAACAATTGGCACATGCATTAAAGATGCACAATTGCATCATGTCATCATTCACACCAAACATCCTACTCAACCAAATATTTTGCTAAAGAGAAATGCATTTTTATGCATCACATCAACAGACATGTGTGACACATGAATTTATCATATTGATTTATCTTAACACTGTCATACTACATTGTGTATGAATGCGCATTGTTTATAAAAAATAAATAACTTAAAATTCAAAACCTTTGTTTTTTTTTTAAAATTAAAAATATGTTAGTGAATACACTCCAAATTTACAAGAAAAAAGGAAAAATCAGTAACTGTTACAACAGGAAAACAGTTACAGCTTCACCAAAAGAAGCAAACTGATACAATCAAAATAGTTAAAAAATTCCTACACAGCTGTTATAGTCTAGATCATGCCCAGGGCAGCACCCTCTTTCTGTACAGCATACCTTGATGCTTATTCTAATGCAGAAACAGATAAGAGGTACTGGCATCCAGAACCTAGCACTCCAATACTCCTCCACAAATCAGTTCCTACCTCACTCACCAGAGTACTTCAAACCAAAATATCATCAGCCAAAGAGCACTAACGCCATCCATAACTCATCCATAGCTCTTTTCAACCTCCAAAACACTTAAGCATGCCCTCACATCTTCATATCTTCATATACACCTTTCTTTCCAAAGTGCCCAAAAAAAGTCAACCTGGATACCTTCAAAACAAAAAAAAAAAATCTAAACATTATGATTAATTCATACGTATAGCAGAAAGTGCAAACGGAAATGACGCCCAAAAACTATAGATCAAATGCGGAATAATGTAGAGGAACCAACAAAGAAGGGATAATGACACCACTGTTTAAAGAAATTAATTTGCCAGCAACTTGGCTCAGAAAGCATTAACGCGTTATTTTGGAACACCACCATATCTTCCACTTGCAACATTGCCATTTCCATAACCTGGGCATTCTACTATACCAGGACAATATATCGGCCAATGCCCAAATTTTATCGCTCTTCAAGCACAAGATGCACCACCATTACCAACCCCTGCCATTACACCCTATTGTTGAACCTACCTCCATATGACTGTCCCTCACCATTCATAACACTTTTCGCAAAATGTGTAGAGATATAGTCAGGACCACCACAACTATTACAGCTTAAATACATGACAGTAGAATTATTCATCTTGCTCTTCATATTTCTAGTAATACAAATCTTTCGCAGATATACCCATGATCTCCTCACCAGCTTCTAGGACTGTAGTTACCCATGGCAAGCCAGAGTGACTCCTGTATCTGTTGTGCAAAATATACCTATAATCACATTCATCAAGGCTCCAATCTTGATTAAATTTTTCAAGAAAATTTCATGATCATTACGAAGGTGAATGAAAGCTTTACGAGTAGCTTTCAGGCTCCCCTTGGAGATCATACACACTTTACCAGACTCAATCGGCTGTAGAATTGGTTGGCCACAACATTAAAATAGTTTTCTCATGTTTTGGCCTGTATACAACCAATCCAAAAACATACATCAACTCCACTAATACCCAAGGACATCAAGCATGATTGCAGCAAGTATAGATGAGTATAAAAAATTGAAACAAACTATCACATGTTTTCATAACATGAGGCAAGCAATCGGAACACTACAATTCTTGGTTACACGATCATATGAGGATGTTGTAAAACTCTTAAACCTTTTAATGCATGTGCAACAACAAATTATTCTGGAATCAATATTTGTTTGTATGCATCTGCCTATATACAGATCAAACGTTAAACTGACAAATACTATATTATTGTTGTGTAGAACTGTATATGCATCTATCAAATATGCTAACTGTACATATGAAAAAAAACAAACATCTACAAACAGTTGCTCCACCACCATCACATACAGGACTCTTCCTCAAACACCCAATGAACCAATACACACATCAAGGTGTGTGTAGTGCCATATGTATGATTTTATCTCTCAGATTGTTCTCCTCAGTGATGACCAAGTTAATAGCTAGTTCCCTTTGAATGTCTACACTCTTATCCTGCATTTAACAAATATGAACCATTACAAATAACACTTTTTTTTTATTTGTTTATAATTAAAGGTATTCGGCAGTGTCGGCATTGACTCTATATTGTTATTCACCTTTAGTGTAAAACCTTGCCCCAAATGTGATGCTTGCATCATCTTCACAATGAAAATTCCGCAATCATAACCATTGTCTTGTTTGGGCATCCAGCCTGGTTTAACAAGCTTCCATGTGCCCAATTTGTGTTTAAAATCAGGAGCCCTACTTGCAAGAATGTCGTCCAAAACATTGATCTACAAAACAAGGTGGAATGTTGTTGCCCAAAACAAGACAATGTTCATAAATGATACCTTTGGTAAATGAAAACACTAATTAGCTTACAACTCTATTCGCATTTGTGTGTCGAATATTGTTTCTTTGTGGACCTGGCAGAGGATCCAGTAGGAATGTATGTTTGTCCTCTATATCCACCAGTAGTAGATACCAATGTGAATTTTGATCGTTCATTGGGACATAAATCTACATACAAACAGAAATATCTTCTTCATGTAGACTAACTTAAAAACAATTACAAAATGCATGAAACCAATAATTATACCACCTTTGTAGTCTTTGTAAAATCAGGTAGTGGGAGGCGACTAAACTTCTGATTTTTTGTAGTTACACTTGCACCCTGACTGCATTTGATGCTGCCTGACATGGTTTGTTCATGCAATGACATGGCTTGTTGCTGCATACATTCACCAACATGACTTGGAACATGACTTAAGTGTGTTTGTCACATGACTTGGAACTTCTATATGACATAAATCTACAACTTTACAATTTTTGGAAATGAAAACTTGTACTTATAGAGAAGACGATTGGTAAGTACCATCTTCCGGTTTGTAGAGCGATGCAGGCACACATATCAATTACATAATACATTTTTTACAAGATATTTTAGTGTAATTCTCATAACGTCAAAACATTACAAATCAATAAATTTGTAATTGACGAACAATTCCACTTAGCCATTAGTTCGGGGTAAGGGTCTGTAACACTCCCCTCGTGCCTTCATCATGGTCACCAAGTGATACCAAAATCTCACTATACATAAACAAAAGACATTAATAGTGAGAGATGTTGAATTGAAAAATGAAACAAGTAACAGTTGTTTATCCTAACAGATAGCGTCAACTATAGTGTACATGAACACATACTCAGATGGCAAGTTTTTGTCATATATGTATATGTATATTGCGCGCTCCATATCAGCATCGATATGGGTTAATCGTGGGAACACCACATCTGCCATCTACAATGCAATTTCTTATAAGGGGGTGAAAGTGCCACTCACATGAAAACGCATGTTGAATCTGTAATACAAAAAACAATAAAACATACTTCAGCTAGTTAGTGTCCCTCTGCTGATTGTGGGTCATCCATTGCCACCTTCAGTATAATGTTTGAATTTTTCAGTTCACGCCAATAATGAATTGTAAGAGATGTGGTAATACATCTGTCAACACCTTTAAGGTTGACCCAATACAATGGGTAATGTACACACATGCGTGAGATCAATTTCAGCTTCTTCTTTATTTCCCCCCATGTCATGTGGGACATCCTTCCCAGGCGCCGATGTATCAACAAATTGGGACACAATCTGTCCAATCTCACCCAGACGTTTCTCCAGCACAAACAAAGATTTTGTGCAGTGTGATGCAAAAGTATCAAACTTTTTTTCCATTCGCTCGGCAACAACCTCAAGCCTTCCAATTCTTACCCCCAAATCCTACAAACCAATATATGGAACCATTACATTACAGTCATATATTTGCATCCACAAATTACCAAAAAAAAAAAATTGAATAATCAATTGTGGTAAATGTATGAAGTGGTGATCTGCTATTAGGTTGCTTTGGGAAATATATAAATTAACCATGGTATATTTACATATGTCTGACACTGCTTGCTGGGATGCGGTACCAAGTGTACCATCAATTAGCTCCTCCGCAACAAAAACATCCAACTAATCACATAAAACAAAAGAAATATACGCGTCAAATACTATATAAGACATTACCATACAACAGTGCATATGAAAAAAAAACATAAAAATAATAAAATGCTTACCTCCTCCAGGTTGAAGCCTCCTAACTTCAAGATATCATTCGTTCGTTTACTCACATCGCTGTCAGCCCAGTCTACAATTTGGGAGACCTCACGAAAAACCATAGGAATGATAGTTTGTCCTCTTGGTGTCACACGTTCAAGATATATAACCTATATACCAAACAAAATGATGAGCATAACACACTTTTATGTACATTGTAAACAACATACACATTAACAATCACTTCCCGTATAAGTAAATTACGATAGCCACACAATGATCCCCGACCGAAACTTTGAAATTTTTCAATGCCTTTAATGACTCCATCAAATACAAACTTGCACCAATTAATATGTCTCAATGAAGGCACGTCAACAACCGAGTGTAATGCAGCAACACTTAGTGTTGTTCGCATTGTAGGATGAAGCATACAACCAATAATATATAAAACAGACAGCCATATAAACTCATCAGAGACATCTGTGATTGAACTAAGCCGGTCAGACAAATGTGTCAAAGATACCTCCGACTATCTGTTAAATATTGACATACAAAGATCGTTAATGTTATCCTTTGTGCCCGTTGTCACCACATTTGTCCCTGAAAATTGTAGACCTAGTATGTAGGTCATATCTTGGGAGCTGAACTTCGCCCATTTATCATATAAGTTGAAAGCACATCGATGGGGATCAAATCGTCCCNGTATGTAGGTCATATCTTGGGAGCTGAACTTCGCCCATTTATCATATAAGTTGAAAGCACACCGATGGGGATCAAATCGTCCTGCCAACCAGGCACACAAATCATGCCTGATATATGTGCATTGTATGATTAGCAATCCACCCAAGCCAATTTCAAAGATGGCTTGTTTTTGTGCCGCTGCGAATATCATAATTCTTTTTGGTGAACATCTAGTGGCTACATAATGATGTACACGTTAAGTAATGGAACTATTAACGCGGAACGGTACATGTCAAGTTGAAAACCAAACAAGAAATATGCATAATGGTGTAAATAAGTTAATGTAACAATGTATAACATACGTTTGCAAATGTATGGGCTATACTATCCGCACGTTTTCGTCGTTGTCGCTTCCCGGCTATAACTGTAGCAACCATTTCTTTTCTCTATACCCTGGTCCAATTTGTTGTCATTGAATAAAAATTGGGAAAATAAAACATATAATTGGTGCAACAAATTATATAATTTCTTTACATTGTCTTTGGTTGAAAAAAAAAATACTATTATCCACAAAAAGGGCTTGTACAATGAATAACCTGTACCCTACAAAACACCATTTTTTGGGTTAGATTTCAGTATAAGTAGTCAGTACACACAAAGCAAAACATCAAAGGACATTGCGGAAAGTCGTAAATAAGACATACTTTATAGGAAGATAACAATGTTCACAATATGGACTTGAATTCAACATCTAAAGAATAGTGTACTACTGAATATGCATTGAATGGCTAAAAAAATGAACATCGTGTCAATGCAATAATCTTAAATTAAGCATACAATACAATTCAAACAAACAATCATAAGGATTAGACACTCTTTTGCAAACTCTAACCAAGTCAAATACCAAAAGTGACATTATACAATCTATTAAAACCCCCCAAGCATTTGTATACAAAAATATGAATCAAACAATCCATAATTAAAAAATGCCAAAGAGTAGCACCACCAAATAAAAAACCAATGTACATATAAAATAAACGAAGGACCCATATATCATTCTCTAATTTACTCTCTTAATTAAAGCCTTCATCCCTAAAAATTAATAACTCATTTTATCAATTTACTAGTAAGAACCCATGCCTAAAGCCACTCTGTAACTTAAAAAATCCTTTAAAGTGAAATAATTTTTCCTTCATTTGTATTAATTAAAAATTTTGAAATAAATATGCAATCTACTATTTTTTAAAAAAATTTCAACAAAGTTTTCTTTGAAAGGAACCCAAGAAAATCTTAATCTATCTACAATGACATCAATTGCATTATTTCCCAACACAAACTATTCAATCTCCCAACACAAATCATTGTATAACCAATTTGAAGAATATCCATTTCTCAACCTAACTCAAAATTCACAATAATCACATTACCAGAGTTATGATGTCAGTAAATGCTCATGCCGACACAACATTTTAATCATAAGCCTATGTATACTTGAACTTGATATGCTTGCCAAAGAACTAAAAACATATACTATCAATTCAAGAGCAAGAGATGAAAAAGTTCAGGATATTACCTACAGGGGTTCCAACCTGCCTGATAAGATGTGCATGTAAAATTTTCAAATAGTTGGCCAGTGAGTGGATTTCTTTGAAACAAAGTAAGATTAAATACCATAACAGAAGTCGTTGAGGAAAAAAAACAATGTCAACCCAATGATCAAACATTAATCCAAGCATCAAAATTGTAAGTGAACAATAAGATTCATAGTCAACTAAAACAATTCAAAATAGCAACCTTAGCTAACAACAACAAAAAAGTGGTGTGTGTGAAATAAGATGAAATTCATGAAATTGAAAGGGGGTATGGAGGTACCTGGGCAACGGCAGAGGAGACATGCCAGAAAGAGGGAGACATTGTAGAGGAGTTAGAGAGAAGCAGAGAAGAGGGAGGTTTACCTGCGATGGCTGTGGTGGTGGATCTGACAGTGATTCACGGTGAGAGAGAAGGTGGAATATGATAATGGGGCGGGGCATCTGTGCCTTTGGTAGGTGCCCGTTGCCGAAATGGGGAAGAAACTCGTCGATAAATGTTGTGGAGAGAGAGAGAGAAGGGAGAAGAAAAAAGAGAAAAGAGGGAAGACAGATAGAGAAGGGGTTTTCAAAATGTCGGTTGAGTGAGAGAGAGAGAGAGAGAGACAGGGGGAGTAGAGTAAGAGATAAAAAAGGGAGGTTCCCGATAAGGGGATTTGGGCGGAAAATGGGCGGTTTTTTTTTTAATTTTTTTTTTATTTTTTAATTTTAAAAATGAGATAATTGTGGGTGTCTTGTTTGTTTGTTCAAAATTCATAAATGGGGTTATAAACCGAGACAAGATTAACCTTGTTGAAATATTTTTTTTACTTGAATATATTATAAAAATGTTAATTCAATATTACTATATTCCAACTAAAATAACATGTAATTTAAGGTTTCGCAACAAAAAAATTGTAAGTGGCATTAAGTTAATCAGAAGAAGTGCATAAAAATTCATAAAAAGTATAAGTGCCATTAACTTAATTAGAAGAAGTGAATAAAAATTCATACAAAAATATTGAACCATAAAAAAATAACAAAAACATTGTTGTTTAGGGTCAGTTTTTTTAGCAGGATAATGATAGCACATGCAAGAATGAGAAAATTTTAATAATTTGCATGGGTTTGGTACGCATGAAATAGAAAATGATGGAACAAATAAATTATATTCCATAATTACATTTTCTCACAACTAACCAACTTTTTTTTATGAAAATCCATGCTACCATGAATGTAATTTATTACACAGCAGTAACACCTACCCACCAAATTTCAGCCTTAATTGAATGGGGTTCACCTACTTCTAAACCCCATTTGTGCAGCAAATACACACACTTTGTCGTGGATCACTATAATCTGCATGCTTCAATATCTACAGCTTCATCAAAGGAGAGGAAATTCCACAGGTATGTCATACATGATTCCAACTATTTTGAATGCCTTAAATTTTGATTACATTAGCAAAAATGATTGATTAACATGTAATTACAGTAAGAATGTTTTTCTCATTATTGTAACCCAAAATTTTCAATGATTTGAAAATAATAATAATATAAAAAAAAACAATTTGTACTTTAGGTTTCAAGCATAAAATGGCTCATAGTAATTTTGAGAAGGGAAAGCATGTCATTATAGACTTGAATGAAAACAGTACACCAGTGTTGTCCACTACAATACGCTGCTTAGAGCAGCACGCTGCGTCACTGTATACCAGGTCAATTTTTTTACAAGTGCGTGACCATATCAAGGCTGAAGGACTCTTCTTCGTGGTCCAAAAAATTCAGCACCTTAGTCATTCAAGTTATTATCTGTCTAAGTACACTAAACCAACATCTAGTTGGGATGTGATATATGATTATCAGAATCACACCATCAAATGCAACTGCCTGAAATTACAATTTGTTGGACTTCCTTGCTCACACATCATTACGGTTTTGAAAACTGAACACAAAACAAAGTTCCCTCCTTCCACTATTCTAAAGCGATGGACAATTACTGCAAAATCAGCTTGCCCACCGACCTCTGTGCCTCAAACTTCAAGAACCATATCAATTTATTGCCGATATGCTGGATTAATGTCAATGTGCAGACGAATGTATTACTACGGTACACAATTGCCTGAGGGCGCACAAGATCTTCGAACAACAATAACTGTAGTAACCAACCGCATAAAACAACGTCATGATACACGCGAGGCAAGACAAGTGTCAGCATCACAGGATAAAGATAATGACAGTGTGTCGAACAGAAAATTTGGTGTCGTCGATCCCAAGACAATGTCAACCAAAGGTAATTTGGGCCGTGTACGGAAGAACCTACCACTAGCTCCGCGACGATGTAGTAAATGTCGTGGCACTGGACATACTATTTGTAAGTGTCTCTAGGTTACGTGCAATGCAGATAACCCACATAATGACATGCCCTTCTCACAACCTGATGGCTCCCAACATCCCATGCCGTCAACTCAAGAAGACGACCATTGGAATCCAACTTAAAATTACAATGTCCTCTGATATCAGGTTTCATACATTAGCACCTTTTAAATACTTTGGGAAGTTCAGTAAATACCAACTTGGTTTTGATATCCATTTTTTATTTTTTATTTTAATAGCAACTGATATACTAGAGAGGGTACAGTGTGATTTGGATGAATCATTGAGGCATGAAGAGAAATACTGGAGGCAGAAAGCCAATTTGTGATGGGCTGTTGAGGGAGATAGAAAGGTTGTTGAGTGGCACTGGATGATGAGAATGGAAATGAATTATTGATTGCTTTGCAAATTAAACTTTCTCGTAAGGTGAAATTTAAATGTACATAGGTACAGTGGAGGAGCCCAGGTGTTGGATCATTGAAGCTTAATACAGACGGGGCTTCCAACAAAAACCCAGGGATTGCAGGGGGAGGAGCTGTGGTGCGTAATGAATGGGGTGGCATTGTTGTGGCTGCCTCCATTTTTTATTTGGAGTGCTCTAACATGATTGCGGAATTTACAACATAGTGCAATGGATTGAAGCTTGTTTTGGCATATGGTTTGACCTATTGCAAGTTTGAAATTGAATGTGATTCATTGATTTTGGTGAATGCTATTCTGGGTACTTGTGACTGTCCTTGGACATGTTTGAGCTATTGGAGACAAATCAGTGGCTTCTTGAGGGGTCTGGATTACAGCTTGGTGCATATTTTTTGTGAGGCAAATGTTGTGGCTAATAGTCTTGCTGTGTAGGCGGTAAAGAGTAGGAATGTCGTTGATTTTTCGATGGGTTTGAGATTGCCTTCTGCTGTTAGCTTGGCTCTATCATTTGATCGACAGAGTCTCTATGTTTTGCGAAAAAGAAAGAGGGTGACCTTCGATGGTAAAAGGTAATAGGAGCTGCTACTGGAGCTTTTTGTCAAGTAAGATTAAGTGTTGATTTGTTTGAAACAAGGGGAAATGATTAAAAGCTCTTTATTGTTGATATGTTCTTTTGGATTTGGACTGTGCTGGGGATTTTTTGCTGAAACTATAGAGTTTGATGTTGTGTATTTTTGGCTTTGCATTGTTAGTTTTGGCTTTTCGTGGTTATGGATTGTGTCTGTGACTTTTCCTTTGTTTCTTGTAAATATTTTGTGTTATCAATAAATCAAAATTCCCTTTTGATTTAAAAAAAAAATAAAAAAAGAAAGATTCCTACTTTTGATTCAATTGTGCACGGGCAATAGATTAATACTTCTTTAAATATTTTGGAGGTGAGTACAACTACATGTGCTTTGTCATTCCCTTCAGTTATTTGGTACAAACTATTCCACAATTTCATTAGCATACTGCACTGACTACTTCTTGCAATATTAACATGTACACATCTGGCCAATGAAATATTCTGGTATAATCACCCTTTTGTTCTACAGCAGCTGACCACACAAAGCAACTTTCTTAAGTTGCATGGAAGGTTAAACCTTTTTTTTTCTTTTTTTTTGGAAAAAAGGGGAAATTTTATTGATAGAAGAAATAATTACAAGAAGCAAAGAACAAACAGTTCTACAAAATTCAAAAATGGTTTTAATCCTTCAAGATGATTAAAACCATTTTAAGCTACAAAATTGTGGCTTCTGATCTTCAATGTTCGCCTGAACTCCCAGACAGCTTCTGATGCAGAATCCCCAGATCAGAAACAAACCAGTACAACACCCATGTAGTCCCAGCTAGTTTGCTATGTACCCAAACTTAGCCCTTACACCTTTGCTCACATCCTAGGTCACAACATCAGTCTTCCAGAATAGCAGATAGCTACTAAAACAAAGCAAAACAACAAACCAGTCCAGCATCCAAGCATAAAGACCACAATCACCCTCCACATCAGCATCCCAACAGCTATCTTCAAAGTTAATCCACCAGAAAAGACAAAATCCATCAGAAACAGACCGATGCAATCCAGTTCAGATAACAAAACCAAGACTCAACTCTATATACCAACTTCCCACACATAAAACTTGCCCAGACAGTCTGCCAAAACATAGATCATCACAAAAGTTGGCTTTAATCCTTCAAAAGGATCAAACCAACTTATCCTCCTACCACAAACAATACCCCATGTTCAGCACAGTATCAACCCATACACATACTAGACCAATCAGATCAACTGCCTAGTTTTTCATCAAGCATTCTAACCTCTCCTCCATCATCCACGATGTCTTTCCTGTATACATGACAATGACAAAATAAAGGAAGCATGCCTAAACAGGTAATTATGTTGTTATAATTAATCCCACCAAGGATACAGATGTACAATTTATCTGCATCCTTTGCATTACTTCATTGTTAAATCAAATAAACATGAAAGAACGCACAAACCTCACATTCACTGCAACAAAACTCAAAAACCATAAAACATCAATTTGTTTCTAACTACTACCCAATATATTTAATAACCATCCACCCAACATCTACAACACCCTTTGCCAAAATGACAAATGTAACTATACAACAAAAGATTCACCAAAAAAAAAAAACACAAAACCAATGTGTTATTTGTTGATGTACTCTTTAAAGTCCTTATAAAATTAATCTAATTTTGACTCTGGACGCTGTAACGACCCCTTCGTTTCATCCTCGAACTTTTCAAATCGGACCTTCAACTTTTCAACCATTTGCTGAAGTGTTTGTCCACCCTCACTAGTACCAACATCAGAACCACCTTGACTAGGCCCAGCTTGACTACCCACAACTTGAGACACCGCTGATGGCCGCTTCACACAGTTGGCCCGTTTCAGACCCAGAATAGCTCCCACACTTTTATTAAGTGTACCCATATCCATTGTATTCATGGGGACCATAAAAATGTCATTATGCTGAAATTCAACCCCACTATGCTTCAAAATCTTGGAAATTAATATTGGAAATGGAAGACATGGCCTGCAATCCTCGACAATAGATGTTTCGCAAATATGGTTGAATATGTAAAGGGTAGATCAATAATAACTCCATGTTGACCAATAGCATATAATAGTTAGGTCGTATCGTATCCAATCTCAGTAGTATGCCCCCTAAGATGTATATTACATGCAACTATTCGGTTTATAATCCTATACGTTGGAGTAAGGTCAATGTGAGCAATTTTCCTTTTCTCATTCTCCCACGTGACACTCCCAATACAAATACCTTGAATAACTCTCGCCATTTTGGGAACATGCTCCTTACTTGAATATGGAAAGACAATGGCATTCTCAGGAATGTATGATCTATCAATTTTTAATATATTTGAAATAAGATCAGGCGAAACAGTGATGGATGTCTTCCTAACCAATGATTTAAATGTCAGCTCATTCTCTTTGTATTCTTGAACATTTGCATAAAAAAATTTCACCAGATCAACATACGATTTATCTTCCACACTCACCTCAAACAGAGGTTCCCATTTCCGACTTCGAAGTATTTCAGGGCAATCCACACTACCTACAAACTCATCAAGGTAAACACCTCGCTCAATTAACAGAGGACATTTAACAATGAATAAAGCATACCTCTTCTTAGCATCTTTATCCACAAATAGTTTTGCAGTGCCAGAACTTCCCCCGCTATCCACCTTCTTTCGTTTCTTTGTCTCTACGCCCGACATCACCAAAGCTCCAAATGGAAATTTTACTCCTCTTCAACAAAGATGAACAACGAACATTCATGATGGAGATTTCCCTCTTCTCCAAATGAACATTCACAATGGAAGTTTCACGATGGAAGTAGTTTCTATATGCGATTGCAGTTGTGTACCTGATCGATCGACGAAAGAGATTTGGGGTTGGTTGGCGATTTAGGGNGTGTGTTGGTTGGGTCAGTACTGTGGATCCTGCTCTCACTGTGGCATTTTTCTGTGACTTTTATTGGTTCTGCTGGGTTTGCTCTGGTGGTCCTTCTAGCCTAAGCCGATGTATCACAATTAATAACTCCATTGAAAGTACTAGAGTTATCTTCCCTGGCCTTCCTTCCTCCGATATCTTGGTGGATTTCGAGTTACGTTGTTCACTCTTGCTCATATTTACCTGATCCCTCTTACGTTTCATTTTGGCGATATTTGCCTTTCCCTACTGGTTTCTGCCATGCGAGAATGCTGCTTTTAAAGAAGGAGGATGGTGCTTCTTCTGCTGGTTCTTTGTATCTGGCGTGCTGCATGAGGGGATGTTTTTATTGTGTTTATGAGCGTGGTGTTTTGTTTCCCGAAGCACTTTCCAATGGCCAGGCTGTTCTGCTGGCAATCTCTCACCTGGGGATCTTCCTTGCGATTTTCTTAGTTGGGAATCTCTATGTTGCGGTGATGATGGCAAGTGTATTATTCTCGTAAATCTATCCACGGTGCTGTAAATATATCTTTTATTTTGTAAATATCTCAATTATTTTTCTACATTTTTTACTGATATAGTAAATAATCCACTGTCTTTGTAATTTGTTCCACTAATTTTAAAAATTTCTCACTCTTGGTGTAATTGTCCCATTAATTTTATATTTTTACCTAGTAATATTGTTAACATCGCAATAATTTTACAAAAACACTTTATTGAGGCACTATGATCAATCATCATATTCGTGATCAATCAAATTATATATTTATTTATTTATTTTCAAAATTTTATTTTTTTACACAACACCTTTTCACATAATGATCGATCATACATTTATGCGATCGATCAATATTTTATGATCGATCATCTATTACATTTACTATAAGTTGTAAATTTTTTCACTGTTGTTATAAATATACCTTTAACTTTGTACATATCCCATTATTTTTTTACATTTTTTACTGATGTCGTAAATATATCAATACCCTTATACTTGGTTTCACTGACTTTGTAGGAATCTTATTATCTTTGTTATTGTATCCATTATTATAGTAAATCTTGCAAGTAATAATATAAATATTCTATAAATTTTGTAATTCACTCATTATTCTTCATCCATTATTGTTGTACAGTATCCATTGTTGTTGTACAGTATGACAACAGGTCATTCCGGTTGGCTCGTTTTATCTTTACACGCGTTTTATTTGTACAACATTCTGCAGTGATTTTTTCAACTTTTAGTCACCAAATTTTTCGGTATCATACCGAAATCCACTTGTATTCCATGGCTTAAATTGACACGACAGCATGAGGACCCGCGTGAAAGTCAAAATTTGGCCAAAGTCAAAGCCGACATCTCTGCCCAAGGGCATCGCAATTAAAACTGAATCCAAAAACTGGGGTCATTTCAGTCGTGCGGCACCCCTGTTTATCTGCGAAAATGGAGTCAAATTTTATGAGTTTTAATGAATTTTATAAATTTATTATTTTAGATAAATTTTAATAAATTTAATTTGTTTAAAAAATAAATTAAGTCTGAGTAACTTAATTATTTTATATATAAATAAATTAAATTTTACGAACTTAAGTCCAATTGTTTAGATTTTTTTTAAACAAGTTTAAAAAATTATTTAAACCCGTCTTGTTTAATACACGAGTCGNATGGTTGAATATGTAAAGGGTAGATCAATAATAACTCCATGTTGACCAATAGCATATAATAGTTAGGTCGTATCGTATCCAATCTCAGTAGTATGCCCCCTAAGATGTATATTACATGCAACTATTCGGTTTATAATCCTATACGTTGGAGTAAGGTCAATGTGAGCAATTTTCCTTTTCTCATTCTCCCACGTGACACTCCCAATACAAATACCTTGAATAACTCTCGCCATTTTGGGAACATGCTCCTTACTTGAATATGGAAAGACAATGGCATTCTCAGGAATGTATGATCTATCAATTTTTAATATATTTGAAATAAGATCAGGCGAAACAGTGATGGATGTCTTCCTAACCAATGATTTAAATGTCAGCTCATTCTCTTTGTATTCTTGAACATTTGCATAAAAAAATTTCACCAGATCAACATACGATTTATCTTCCACACTCACCTCAAACAGAGGTTCCCATTTCCGACTTCGAAGTATTTCAGGGCAATCCACACTACCTACAAACTCATCAAGGTAAACACCTCGCTCAATTAACAGAGGACATTTAACAATGAATAAAGCATACCTCTTCTTAGCATCTTTATCCACAAATAGTTTTGCAGTGCTAGAACTTCCCCCGCTATCCACCTTCTTTCGTTTCTTTGTCTCTACGCCCGACATCACCAAAGCTCCAAATGGAAATTTTACTCCTCTTCAACAAAGATGAACAACGAACATTCATGATGGAGATTTCCCTCTTCTCCAAATGAACATTCACAATGGAAGTTTCACGATGGAAGTAGTTTCCATATGCGATTGCAGTTGTGTACCTGATCGATCGACGAAAGAGATTTGGGGTTGGTTGGCGATTTAGGGTTTATGTAATTGAGAGATTTTGTATGGGTTTTGTAGGATTTTCAATGGATTTTTAATGGGTTTTGTAGGATATGGAATGGATTTTGAATGGGTTTTGTCAGATTTGAAATAGAATTTGAATGGGTTTTGTAGGTGCGAGCGAATAAGGGGGAATTTTGGAGGATTTGGGGATTTATTTAATATCATCCGATGTTTATTTACTACAAAGCCCCCCTTACAACACGTCAATTTAATACTCTTTGAGGGCATTTAAGTAAATTCATCAACTTATTGATCGATCACAATAAACATTTGATCGATCAAATTATCTTACTACTTACTGATCTATCATATTGTTTACACGATCGATCAAATCTCCTCAGTATCCTTTTTTACTTTTGTTTGATAGCAAAAATCTGCAACAATTTGATCGATCACATATGGTTTCAATCGATCCAATCTCCCCAGTACTTTTACTTCTGATTTCGATTAAAATTCTACAAAAATTTGATCGATCAGATATTGTTTCGATCGATCTACTATCCCCAGTACTTTTACTTCTGAGTTAGATTAAAAATCTGCAACAAATTGATCGAACAAATATTGTTTCGTTCNTGACTTTGTAGGAATCTTATTATCTTTGTTATTGTATCCATTATTATAGTAAATCTTGCAAGTAATAATATAAATATTCTATAAATTTTGTAATTCACTCATTATTCTTCATCCATTATTGTTGTACAGTATCCATTGTTGTTGTACAGTATGACAACAGGTCATTCCGGTTGGCTCGTTTTATCTTTACACGCGTTTTATTTGTACAACATTCTGCAGTGATTTTTTCAACTTTTAGTCACCAAATTTTTCGGTATCATACCGAAATCCACTTGTATTCCATGGCTTAAATTGACACGACAGCATGAGGACCCGCGTGAAAGTCAAAATTTGGCCAAAGTCAAAGCCGACATCTCTGCCCAAGGGCATCGCAATTAAAACTGAATCCAAAAACTGGGGTCATTTCAGTCGTGCGGCACCCCTGTTTATCTGCGAAAATGGAGTCAAATTTTATGAGTTTTAATGAATTTTATAAATTTATTATTTTAGATAAATTTTAATAAATTTAATTTGTTTAAAAAATAAATTAAGTCTGAGTAACTTAATTATTTTATATATAAATAAATTAAATTTTACGAACTTAAGTCCAATTGTTTAGATTTTTTTTAAACAAGTTTAAAAAATTATTTAAACCCGTCTTGTTTAATACACGAGTCGACCTCAAGTCTAGTCATGCCCAAGTCGAATTTAAGTTAGTCGGTTTAATTATCAACCCTACGTTTAACGATAAATTCAATTTTGTCTGATTTGTGGGCTATAGCCATTCATTAAATCACCACGTTAGTCACCTTTTAAGTTTTAAGATTTTAAAGAAGAATCACCTCCATGAAAAAAAAAATGTTCTTCTAGATCTGATGGAGATCCCATTCCTAAAGTATTGAATGGGCATCATCATTGTTATCGAGGAGTGGCAAGCACTTACTAAGGTGAGTGAGCTAAGATGTTAAATCCAATTCAAAAAAATTCAATATTTTTGTTGAGTATTTTATTACTTGGGTTAAACTTGAGCAAAAAAACTTTCAATCCGAATTAATTTCTGTTAATACTCCGATTAGAGCTTCAGGCTGAGAGGTTGAACCCGAGCCCTTACATTTTCAAGCATATTACATATGTAAAATTTGTTCTTTTTGTTCTTTAATTTAATTTTGATTAATAAAAAAAATTATAGAATTTAGGTTAAATTTTGAGACTAAACACAAAACTAAACTCTATTTTAAATTTAATTATCGAAAAACTTGATTTTAACAAGAATTTCAACCGAAAATATGCAAACTTCATATCAACTCGAGTTCACATCTTGGCTTGATCTTGCGTTGACTTCTTAACGTGCCCAACAGTCCGAGTTGTACCCCTAGCGATGAAAAATTTTGACATGATATAAACTCAATATAAATTCATCCGCTATGATTGATTATCATGCAAAAAAAACAAGTTAATATGAAAGAGAAAAAAGACTCATTAATATGAAAAACAAATAGGTAAAATTAGTGTGAAATAGAAATAACACATTTTTTAGGTGACAAACATATTTAAATTACACTTTAGCTTAAGTATTTTATAAGATGATTATAGAATTGTATATAAAGATTAAGTGGAATTTTAGTTTATAAAATTTTTGACCAACATATTTAAATTCCACTTTAGCTTAAATATTTTAAGTTCCATTTCAATAAGAAGGATTATTTTGGTTTTGGGACCCATTCTCTATCAAATATTACAAACCAATGATAATCTAAAAGCATTCAACAAAACCATTGTCAATTAACAAGTTTTTTTTTTTTTTTTTGTTTTAATAAGGAAATCATAAAATAATAAAAGATTTTACGAAATTTGGAAAAGATTGGGGTTCTCATACGCATGAATCTTTAAATACTACAACTTTTTAACTAACAATCAAGTATGTGGCTTTATAGCTGATTTGGGACATTAGATCCAATTGGAAGAATTAGATCAAATCTAGACCGTTGAGTTAAAATTAGAATGAATCTGAACCGCCCTTGTGTTTTCTCAAATAAATTTAAATTAAATTAAATTTTGAAGTGAAAAAAGATTTAAATTGAATTATATCTTATTATTATATAATAGAACACCAATAGATTAAAATCAATTCCATTATTTGTGCTAATCACTTATCACATAGGAATTTACATGTAAATATTTTTTATTTTATTAAGTTTTTAAATTATTAATTGCAAATTATTTTAATTAAAACGAAGACATTTAGTGGGCATTCTTTCTTAATTATATTCCATTTGAGGACGCGGTTTCTTGTTTCCCCGACTCATTTGGGGATGGCGGGTCGGATCAGCAAAAATGAGAGGAAGAGGAAGAGGAGCAATTTTGAGTACATTTTCTGGTTTCCAGATAATGATTATCAAGGCCCAGTTTTATCTGGCCATCACTTTCGCCAGTGATGATGATTATGAAGGTCCTGGTGGATTCACAAAGTTTCCAAATATGGAAATGACACTTTTCTCTCTTGAATATTTTAAATTGGAAAAAAAAAATTGTTACCGTAATAACAAATTTTATAATTTTAATGGGTATTTTAATAATTTTTGTGAGTCATTTTATAATAAAAATATTATCACTGCGATAATTATTTTTACCATTTTTTTAGTGCAACAGTGATAAAACACACCTAAAAAAGTAATAATATTGGTAAGATAAAAAAAAAAAAATTGGTACCACAGAGAATTCCTAAAAGCATAAATTGCATCTTTTGTTTTTTTTTTTTATTCTAAGTTAAAAAAAGAGTGGGAGTAAAAGAGAATATCTAGAGGCCACTCTAATAGGTCATCACTAGTGGGATCATGAGACTCCTAACTGCGTTCATTACACCTCTCGAAAACGAACTTAATTAAACTAACATAGCGAATTGGCAATCAATTACCGAACTTTAATATAAACTCTAAAATTCGAACCTCCAATCTCAACATAAATTGTATCTTTTAACATTTTTAAATGGTAGCAATGTACTTCAATTAGTAAATAACATCCCACATTGTCATGCATATGATCTGAGATAATGAATAGTTTTGATGATACCTCAAGATAAATCTCAAACGCCAGCTCAGCAGGTCAACTCAGCTCAGGAGGTCAGACTAGACGAACAGAACTCGGAAGAGTAAGAGCTAGAGGTCCTTTCGAGATAAGCAAGGGCAATAACAACCAAGGCAACAACTGAGAGAACACGAGAAGTTCCTAAAAGCGTTAGGAAGCAATAATCAAGGCACTTAATCTCAACCAACTAAGATCTTCTCCTATAATCAAGGAGAACTCCACGAAATAAGGGCAAGAATCTCGGCTAAGATCTTACTGAATAGGGAACAGCCCTATAAATACTATGTAACGCCCCTAAGGAAAAGGAGGAAATCCTAGAGGCAAAAACTAGTCATTGTACTCTTGCAATCATCATTATCGAAAGACAAGGAGCAAAAGTCTCCATTAAAGAGTGGGTTAGTCGAGCTCCCGAGCCGGTGAACCACTATATTTCTACTGTGTTAGTTCCCCAACTCCCCGACAATTCTTAGTATCATTCACTCAAGTTTAATAGCTCAGATCCCAACAATTCCACTATTGTTTCTTTCATTTACTCGTCATCACAAATTTGCTTCACGTTGAAATACACCATCAGTTTGGCGCCGTCTGTGGGAAACGACTGTCCCTGTTACAAATAAAGCTGATTTTCCAGTGACTAATGGTATCAACGTGAAATATGAGCCGAAGTCAGACCAATCCTCTACGGATGCAAGATCAACAGGAAGCCGCAAATAACAGGCAACCCAAAAACGCTCAAGAAACAGATCCCCCTATGGGGGACTTTCTCATGAATAATGAGATGGAGGCCCTTCATCTTGTCAATGAACGTCTGATAAAACAGAATGAAGAGCTCTTAAAGCTCCTACAATGCCCACCGGAGGCACAACTGGCCCAAGGAGGCCAGAATAACCCACCACCAAGAGAGCAACCGTATTTCGACCCCCTTAGAGAAGTTAATGAGGTGGGAGAGAATAGCCAGACCTTCGGGCAAGAACCTCGCCTACCCCCTAGGAATGGACACAACAAGGAAGTGCAAAGTCAGTACAAGGAAGGGGAGAGGAGCGACTTCTTCCCTTATCAACAAGAGAGAAGAGAACACCACTAGGAGCAACGTTTCAAAGACATCCAACAAGAGCTCAGCCAGATGAAAGAGGCAGTGAATAGCAAGG